TGATGTCCCCTGCGACTATGGTCCCAAGCCCGCAGGATCAACTACTCGGTCGCTCTGGGTAGCTGGCTGTGACCAAGCAATGACCATAACCTTGTTGTAGGCATGTTTTAAAGCTGCCATGTCATCCCTGTTATGGGGCTGTCAGGATGAGTTTGTCTCCAGATTTTGTTCCTTCAGCAGGCTGGGCAGATAAGATAGGGAAAGAAGAATTGTGATGGGAGCAAAAAGGTGATATCAAAATGTTATTCCTTTGGCCTTGGGGGCCCAGAACAATTTTATTCATCAGTGTCTAGTGTTGAGCACAGTACCTGGCACATGGGAGAGCTTAGTAGGTATTTGGTGGCTAGATGGGAGAGTGAGAGATGAAACAAACAGTGCAGCAAGTATCTTTACTGATCACATGTGTGCCTTATCTGTGTAATGGTGCCAAGTGTTTCATGTTATTCCTGTCAGCTTTGACTTGCACTTATTTATGCACTTAATCCTACATCCAGTCTGCATATTTCAGATTCCATAGGTTCTTCCAAATGAATCCATCTACCAAATTGGATTTAACAAGCCTCCCAAAATGTGGAGCCCAGGAGGTGCTGCTCTAGCTTTTTCTGATGTTGTTCTCTTTGAGGGTGGTCACAGCCTGATAAGACATTTGTATTATTAGTTTCTTAGGGCTCCTGTAACAAAGCACCACAAACTGGGTGGCTTAAAACAACAAAATTTATTCTCTCATCCTGCTGGCAGCTAGCAGTCTAAAACCAAGGTGTCAGTATGGCCATGCATTCTCTGAAGGTTCTAGGAAATAATCTATTCCATGCTCTTCTCTTAGCTTCTGGCATTGCTGGCAACCCTTGGCGACTCTTGTCTTATAGATGGCATCACTCCAGTCTCTGCCTCTGTTATCACATGGCATTCTCCCTGTTTGTATGTGTCTCTTCTTAAAATGACACCAGTCATATTGAATTAGAGCCCACCCTAACGACCTCATCTTAACTTCATTACATTTGCAGCGACCTTATTTGCAAAGGTTACAGTCACAGGAGTTAGGACATAGACATATCATTTAGGGGGACACAGGCTCATAACATCATTCATGACATTCATGCCCATTCTAGGTCTCAGCTTAAGGGACACAAACCCATGGCCTCTGAAAGTTCTGGACATTTTGGAACCATTTTTCAATAAGCTTCACTGGCGATTTTGTGCCTACTTGAATGTGTTCCAGAAGACAGCTGAGATTATATTAGAGTTGGCCATTGTGTCATTTGAGAACATATGGTTTAATGTAGGAGCTCTGGTAGCATAGTGCCTAAGGCATTTGACTGCTAGCCAGAAGGCTGGAGGTTCAAACCCACCAGCCACTCCTTGGAAGGAAGGTCTACCTCACACTATCTTTGGTTAAGGATTTTAGGAAGCAGGTTCAAGAATTGTGTACCTGGAACTAATTTAGAGCAACAGTTTGGGAAATATTGAAACACCCTGAGAAAACCTGAGTAAAAATATGATGGTCATCATTTATTTTGTGGACAGGAAAACAATGGCTCTGTAAGGATGTGGTTGCTCTATTCCAAAGCATTCTCTATAAAACAGTGCTCAGTCAAGGTTAATTTTGTAAGGAAAATAGACTAAGACCAGCTGGATAGCCAGAGTTTAGAGAGAAATCATTTTGACGGTTCTAGACCAATCAGAACATCCCCAGGCCTTTTCCAGTGTCCATTACTCCTACCTCCATACTCAAACTTCTATAAAAGGAAATAAATGAAGTGGTTTGGTTGGTTTCATATAACTGAGCTTTCTATATATATATATATATATATATATATATCATAAGGACTGCACTCTGGAGACACTGGACTTGTCATTAGAATTAATGACAGGAATTAATAACAAACTTGCTGTCATTGCATTGTTCCATGGAAATGTTTGTGAAAGTAGTGGGTCCTAAATGCTAAGAGTTCTGGCATTTCATCCATACAATGACCGCTGAAATGGGGCCCGTACTTCTAGATGGGGTGAGCCTCAGAAACTTCTCTGGATGTGCTTAGAGAAGTAAACTTCATGTTGCTGACAGCTTATGCCGGACCCTTGGGGCAGAGAGCACTGTGCTCACTTGCTATTATGAATGGGGCTGGCAATGACTTCTGCCTTACTGCTAATGGTGCCCCACTTGCCAGCCCTAGCTAGGAGCTGTGTGGAACCTAATTTAGATCAACAGTTTTCCCTTAATTTCCTTCCTTCCAAGCCTTAGGCAAGGTCATGCAGAGGGGCCCTCAAAGTCATTTCTGCTGGCATTTTGGAAGTCTTTCAAGATTGCACAGATTGGAAAATAAAGGGCGAACTTCAAGCTTGGTTCCTCATGACACCCTCTTAGAAGTGACTCATACATAGCCTGTGTAGAAAAGGTCTTATTTCTCTAAATCCTCTTGGCCTGAGCCTTCTAGTGAGCCACTAACAGCAGGGCTGAGAGTCATGAGAAACAGAGAAATAAATGGGCTTCTAAGTTTTGGGTGAAACCCTGGGTTTTTGCCGTTTCCCCTGAATTGTATCCAGGTCACATGCTCAGTGTTGTTGTCATGAAACTGGAGTCAGAGATGGGGAGAAGCCCAGATGTTTATTCTCCATTAGGAAAGAAAGGGTAATTCTCTTTACCTCGTTTTCTAAATGATCTTCCTAAAAATAAACCAACAAATGAAAAATTGATAGTTGGAAGCATTTCTTCTGATGAGCACAATTTTCCTCACTGGTTCTGAAAGCCCAGGGTTATAAACAGAGCCATGGCTACAGCGCTACAGAATATTAGCTCATTTGGGAGAAGAAACAGAGCTGTTGGCTGGAAGTTTTGGCATTATATGAGGGAAGCATAAGAATATTGTGGGCAGACTTCAGCTTCATGTCCCTGGCAAGTTTGACTCATTGAAACAAAACAAAACAAAAAACTCAGTTGCTTTGTTTCTCTGGAGGTCTTGGTGACTTTGCAACCAAAAACAAAAATAAGCCCAGCTGGAAGCAAGCTGCCCTGCCCTAGAGGTGGCTTCCCACCCCATTGAAGGGGGGGGCATTTCATGTCAGACACAGCTGAGACTTGTGTTGGCTGGTTATGCAGACACATCATTCACTTCCTTCCCGAAGTTTACTGAAGTGCCCTCATTGATGAGGCTGCCTTTGGAGCAGCTAAGAAAGAGCAGGGATATGAATTTGTCCTGGCTTTATCAGTCATAGGAGCTCTGGTGGTGTTATGGTTAAAGCATTCGGCTGCTAACCAAAAGGTTGGTAGTTTGAACCTACCAGCCACTCCGCAGGACAAAGATGTGGCAGTCTGCTTCCATAAAGATTTATAGCCATGGAAACCCTGTTCTTTGCACTGGTAAGGGTTGACTCTCTAGCAATGGGTTTGGTTTGCTTTGATTTATTAATCATATCAGCAGGCAAGCAAGCCCCATGTTTTCAGCTTGGGACAAGGTCACAAGCAGGATATTTAATGGAATGTGGAGGAAAGGAAACTACTCTGTGTGTGTGTGTGTGTGTGTGTGTATACTCACAGTGAAAACTAGAAAGTCAGTTGTTGATAGTTGCATTGACATATGACTTCCTGGGCAAGTTATATTTGCTTGTGTTTCCTTCCTGGTCCTCCCAGTTTTCCTCCAGGCTGAAATCTGATGCCCAGTTACCTAAATCTTTAACTTCAAACCTTTGCTGAGGTGCCTTTTCTCAAATTACTGGCCCCTATATCCTCAAGCTTATTTTTGCTATTCTTCTGATTGTCTCTGTGGGCCCCTGATTTCACATTCTATTATCCCTATTTTTCTAGAAGCTGAGAGTCAATAATAGTTTATTCACTCATTTGACAAATATCTATTAAGCACCTGTTCTATATCAGATATTTTAGGCTCTAGTAATGCATCTGCCAACAAGACAGCTGAATCTCCATCCTTAAGGGCTTGGTAAATGTGTGATGAGAGCTAAGGGTGGGAGGATTTTTCCTTGCTACTCCAAGTGTGGAGTCCCTGGGTGGTGCGAACAATTACCACACTTGGCTACTAACCAAAAGGTTGGAAGTTTGAGTCCATCCAAAACACCCCAGAAGAAAGGCCTGGTGATCTACTTCCAAAATCTGCCATTGAAAACTCTGTGGAGCACAGTTCCACTCTGACATACAAGAGGTTGCCATGAGTCAGAGTCAACTCAACAACAACTGGTTTCTTTCAGTCTGTTTAGAAAGCCTATGATATTAACACATCTTAGAATGCTCTTTTGCTTTTGAAACATTTCTCAGAGAAGCCATCTTTGTGCACAACTTGAAAGATATTGAAAGGGATTGGCCAGTGAGATATATTGTAGGTGGGAGAAGGTGAGAGTAAGAAAGGTGTTCCAGGTTCTGGAGATTTAGCCCAAGCTAAAGAGCAATCTACTTCCGTAGTGATACCGCCTCGGAAACCCAAGGAGGGGTTGCTGTGAGTCAGGTCCGACTCAACGGCACATAACAACAACAAATTTATTCTTTGTCATTTTTAAGGTTGTCGCTTAGTTTCTTACATTTCCAGATTTGCTTTGGAATTTGAGGTTACTTTATCTAATTTTATGGACTGTGGCCCTCTCTCTTTATAGCCTGAGAAGCTCTTTTGTTATTTTGCCTCCAAACAGAAGTCCTTCCTTTGCTTTAATTATTATAGTTGTCCCTTTGGGGACTTATATAAGTCTTTTTAAAATTCCTTGAGGTGAGATAGCAAGAACTTAAGTATTCCAGGTGTTAATAGTGTTTTGTGGCTTTGCACAATGACACAGTAGGGGTTTGCTATTCCCTTGCTGTTTTGGGAAAGTTACAAGGAAGACCAACCCTGGGAGACTTGTTTTGCATTTGATGGTTTATAGTATCCTTCCTGGTGATATTTATAATTTTGTTAGTTTTTTCTTTAGTTAGATTCTGTAGGCACTTAGAATGGATTGCTTAGAGCCTATCCCTCTATAAAAGACTGTTTCCTTTTTTTGTAAAGATATTTGCCTGTCAAAAAGGTCATCTACTACTGTTCTACCTAGTCATGTGGCATTTTAAAATGTTCCTAGAGTTGTCATTGGATTAGCATTAAATTACCCAATGGAATGATCTTTTTTTTTTTTTTTTTTTTTTTGCAAATAGACTTCCCTCTTCCACATGATTTATAAAAATATAAAATGAAGTTGGTCTCTAGGGTCTCTCCTTGTTTATATTTCCCCATCCACAGAAGGGCCCATTTAACTAAGCCATTTCCATATCCGTGACTAAACATTCCTCAAATACCATAGGGACTCAGTTTTTAAAAATAATTTTTGCTGTTGGGAACTAAAGGAATCCCTCCACTTCTCTGCATACTTATCCTTTCAAAGGTCTCTAGTTAATGTTTTTTCCCAAACAACTGGTTTGTATTATCGCCTTTACAGTGTAGAATTTATATCCATTGTAATTTAGAACATGTAACTTTGATTCAACTTTTATTTGGTTATTTTCATTGTCCCTCACCTGTGGAGTTGCCTTTCCCCATAATATTAAAGATGATGATAAAAATATTTGTGCCTCATAAGCAATCTGTACTTTCAGAACTTGTCATCTAACAACATAAAACTCCATTAATCCAAAGACCCAAACCCTTGCTGTCAAGTTAATTCTGATTCATAGCAACCCTTAGGACTGCCCCATAGGGTTTTCAAGACTGTATCTTTATAGAAGCAGACAGACACATTTTTCTACTGTGGAGTTGCTGGAGGTTTAGAACCACTGACCTTTCAATTAGCAGTTGAATGCTTAACCACTGTGCTACTAGGGCTCCTTAAAACTCCATTCAAAACAGCAACAAAAAACTCACTGCCATTGAGTCGATTCTGACTCATAGTGACCCCCATTGGGTTACCAAGGCAGTAAATCTTTACAGATGCAAACTGCCTCATCTTTCTTCCACAGAGCAGCTGATGGGTTTGAACCACTGACCTTTTGGTTAGCAGTCAAATGCCTTAACCACTACTTCACCAGAGCTCCTTAAACTCCATTAACTCACTGCCGTCTAGTCGGATCTGACTCATAGCGACCCCTCCTTGGACTTCTGAGGCAGTATCACTACTGAAGTAGATTGCCCAACCTTCCTGCCAAGGAGTGGCTGGTGGGTTTGAACCGCCAGCCTTCTGGTTAGCAGTCCAATGCCTTAGGCACTATGCTACCAGAGCTCCCTAAGCACCCTCAAATTGCTTCAGTCAATCCAATTTTTATATTAATTTTGGTGCTTCTAATACTTGCACAGACCAGATTTCTTAAACCCTGAATGAATGTCTGATTTTGCAGGATATTTTGGAAATTAAATGCTGGGATTTTTGAGTTGGAAAGGTATGAGAAGAATAGAAAAGAATTTACTACTTGAAAGTAGATAAACTAACAGAGTTGTTAGTTCTGGCTCCGTTTTCCTGGCCACTGACCCCACCTTGCTAAAGCTGGTAGGGAAATAAGTTACTGTGCTGTGGAGCACAAAGTGGGTACCTGGGTAAAGAACACAGAGAACCTTTGGCTAGTTTGTCAGGAAACTCGACAAATCACACTTTCTCCAGGGCAGCTTCTGAGGGGTCTGGAAAGTTGGTTTTACGGAAGCTTTCTTTAACTTTTTCTATAAATCAATTTTTCCCTGTTAGTTTCTAGACTATTTTAGGATTATTAACCTGCTGAAAGACCTTTTGAGGAAAATTACAATAAGAATATCAAAGGAAATTTTGTACTTTGTGCTGTATTGAGTCAGTTTACCCACAGACATGACCAAACCTTCTAATGTTGGAGATTGATTTATCTACTTTTGGGGTTTATTCAGTTTCTACTAAAATATTATCTCCCAATATATCTTTGCAACTTTGGTAATACGAGATATTTGATTATGAACTCTAAATCTGTAAAAGTTATGGTTAAAAAAGAAATCCACTAACCCCCCCCCCAACTTCATCCAGGTCTGTTTTCTGCACCTAAGCATTTGTCCTCTTGTTTGTGCCTAGGATGGTCCAGATTCTGCCAGAGGAAACCGAACAAAGCAGGAGAGTGCATGGATATTCAGGCTGTGGTACAGCTTTGACCACAAGTATCCTTTCAACCAAAATATTCAGGAAACATTGACGACAAAATAGTCTTGAGTTGTCTGTGAATGATTTTTGATGAGTAAGGAAAGATGTGTGCTTGGTACAGCTGTTAGTATACATACAATTGTCACTCAACCACAAGTAGTCCTT